TAAAACAGACATTCGGATGGCGGGGAAGAACAAACCGGGGAGGAAGGTGGAGAGAATGGTGCGGCAATGAAGGAGTGAAAGCCCAGAATCCCTGTGAATGTTCATTGAAACTAATAATATTTAATAATAATTTAAAAAAAAGAGTTCGTTTGTGAGTGAATACTGAAATCATAATGTGGCCATTAATATGCCAAATTCTATATGACCCTGTTGTAGTCACAACGTCAATATATCTTGTTGAGGGTTTTCCTTTCCTTCTCTGACCTTTTCAAATATGATGCCCTTTCCCAAGGACTTGCCTCTCCTGATAATATGTCCAAACTGTGTGAGATTTAATCTCACAAGGTATGTAGTTTGAATCCACTAACTGTTCCACATGCGATTTATTGCTTTTGAAAGCCCCTTGGAAGGTCAGCAATTTGTTGGGTCTGACTCAATGTTACACAATAAAAGCAACAACAATTTTAAAATAAGTAGATAAAATTTTTTTACTTTTATCGTATCATCACTGTCTCTCTCAGACATTTCCCCCCCAATAAGCATTATTCTGTTGCTTTATGCTCGGTGTCTACTTATTGCTAGCCATTATTTATTTATTATTTCCCCTTCTAATTCTCTTTAAAGTGTATTTGCTTTCATTTTTTCCACTAAAATTGTGATTTGAGTGAAAGTTTACATGGCAAATTGTAACCACACATTTTGTTTTATATACAAATTAAATTTTTCAGGCACATTTTACTTTAAAATATTAAATATAACACCCACAATTGAATAGTGCTGTCCCCACATCCTCCCTGTATTTTTCATTTCCATTAATGCTTTTACTTCTTTTTAAATTTGAGCTAGATTGCTAATAAAATGCCACATCAAAACACAGAACTAATTTAGTTACTGAATATGGATAACTAAAAAAGAAAAAAAATTCAACGTCATTGAGTTGGAAGTGACGCACAGCTGACTCTTTAGCGGGCTTCTGAAATTGTAAAACACATTGAAGGAAATCGTCTGTCTCTCTTTAGTGCAGGCACTGGTGGATTTGATCTCCCAGAGTGGCACTACCTTTGGTTAGCAGTGCAATTCATTAAAGTCTGTTTCACTAGAGCTCCCCACATCCTGATAACTGATGTAAATAAATACTGATGTATATGGCCACTGCAATTATGACTCTGCTAAATTCTCACTAATTGAAATAGTATTGAAAAATTTTATAATGTACTTAATAGTTGTGCTGCTTAGAGGGGAAGAAAGATGGACAATCTCTTCCCGTATTTCCAGCCTCTGAAAACATGCTGGAGAGTCAGCTATGATTTGGTTCTGGCTTGGAAGGCATATATCAACAATAATACATTTTATTTTGTCTCAGTAGATATCTGACAGTGGCCAGTTCAGCAGATGATACAGAAAAAAAATGTTCTCAAAGAAACTTCCCAGTCTTCCACTTAAGAAATGACTGATTTGAATCTCTCTGATTGACAGTGACTTTGAGCATTTCTTCACCTGTCTGTTGACCACCAGAATGCTTTCCTCTATGAAAAGTGTTGGTGGGATTGTAAAATGGTGTAACCACTCTGGAAGTCAGTTTGGTGTTTCCTCAAAGAATTGAACATAGAAAGCCCTTATGACCCAGCTATTTCCCTCCTAAGAATATACCCCAAGGAAATCGGTACTGAGACACAAGCAGAGATTTGTACACTAATGTTCCTAGCAGCATTAGTTACCATTGCTAGAACATGAAAACAGTCCAAATGTCCAATCACAACTGAATAGACTGAGAAATTGTGGTACATTTACATAATAGAATACTATGCAGCACTCAGGAGTAATGATTTGGAAAAAATACTACGTAACTTGGAAGAGGCTGGAGAGCATCATGGTGAGTGAACTAACACAGTCTCACTGGGACAAATACTGCATAAGACCATTGCTGTAAAAATAGAAGGATAACTACTAAAACATGTATGGGAATTAAAGCTGGGAGGGGAGTGGGAGCCAAGTGGTAAGAATAGGTAGGGGCAAAACCATAGGGATGCACAGTTTGATGGGTGGAGGGAAGGGGACAAAGAAAGGGGAAGGATCTCAGTGAAAAGACAGGGTAATGATGGGCATGGTCTAATGGTGATTAATTTTAGAAAACATAATGCATGAGAATGACTGTATGAAATACAATGTGAATGAAGAATAGTGAAACACAATGTATATGAACTTTGTAAGCAAACCAATAATAAAACTAAGAAAAAAAAGAAATGACTGAATCTACATAAACAATTGCACAGATTACACTGAAAATTGGCTGATGCGCACAACACAATCTTGTGCTGATAGGAAAGTGTTTAATGTGTTCTAACAAAAAAGGCTTTAGCACATGCAAAACTTTACCAGTTTTACTTGACCTCAATGTAGAACCTCCTTGAGGGCAGAAGAGGAAAAAAGAAAATTAGGCATGAGTAGAGGTGCTACAATAACTTTTATTATTTCTAGTCTTGAGCATGTTCACTGGTGTTTTGTCCCATTTGTCATGATTGGCAAAATTTACATACAAAATGGGTAAAAGACAGCAAACAAAGGCTGATTTTCTTCATTGCCTATACATTTCAGACCCAAGACAAGCTCCCTAATAGGTAAAATGGGACTCTGAATGTAGTGTTTAAAAATGTTTTTCTCCCTTTAGGAGAGCTAGTAATGTTCCTGGTCTAATAAATCAAATTTTTCCTAAGCAGATTCAACAGAGATTGCTTTAAATGCACTGGTAGACAATTTGGAGCATGTGCTTTTTAAATTTTCCTCCTATTTTTTTATTATCATCTTTTTTTCTTTATTCAAGAAAGAATGGAGAGAAAATAAGAGAAATACTAAAGGCATATAGGGATTTAAATTTTTTTCTAAAGTGATGCATGGAAGCTCTGGTGGCCTAACAGCAAGAAGCTGCACTACAATCCGGAAGGCACAAGGTTTAAACCCACCAGCTTCTCTGTGGGAGAAAAAGGGCAATCTCCTGTGTGATAAACTGCTGCTGAAAACTCACTCGAGAGTCAGCTCTGGGTCAGTTCTGGCTCGATGGTACCTAACAACAAAGTGCTATTAATATAACTGAATTTTTTTTTTCTGAAAACTATCTGAATTAGGATTGACTTCATTTGAGCGGATACCGTCTGCTACTGTAGCCCAATCCTATCCCCAGGTATTGGCAGATACAGGTGAGTCGAGCTCCCCCCTTCTTGCCCATAGTCCTACCCAAGCAGCTGCCAGGAAACAGGCAGTATCAGCAGGCAGGAAGTAGGGTGAGAGAGAAGGAGTCTCCACCCATTAGCAGCTGCTTAAAGAATAGGTAAGAGAACTTTCTACAGAAAAATTCAAGTCAGCACATACTCCAAACCAATTTACACCACATGCTCCCCAGTTGTGGAATTAGATGAAAATACTAAGAAAGGACCTGGCATGCCAATCCCAGTTGTTTTTTCCTCTACCTTATGCTTGACACTCAAAGAATAAAATAGGAACACTTGGACTTGCTGGTTTAGAGGAAATTATTAAACAAATGGAAGGAAACGAAGGCAGCACACTCCAAGGGAAGCTGTCTTCATGGAACATCATGTACCAATGATTAAACGTCAAGACTCATCACTGTCCAAGGGGTGACGTCTGCACAGCTTTAGTAATTTATTCACTCAGATTGAACCAAAAGACAAAGCTGACAGATTATCAGAATCTCTGGGGGAGGGAGATGGGCGGAGTGCAGAGAGGAGTGAGGTAATTTTTAAAATTACTTAATAATTTAAAAAGGAAGCACACAATATTATCAACTCTGTTTTGTTTGCTATGGCTTATCCTAGCTTGATGTAAAAACCAGAATCTTGCCAAAAGTATGGAAAATATTTGCAATTAAGTCATTACATATCACATTAGCACTGGGAAGTAAAAATCTGTAAACATGCATTTGCCTACCCTATCTTGGTGTATTTAGTTACATTTTTCCTCATGAAAGAAATGTGACTTTTTTTCTTATGTTGGTTGCTTAACAATATTTTACCATGGATTTAACAACTAGATAAGACTTGGGCTCACATTTTTATACGTGTAGACAAAAAGATATCCTCATATTTCCTCAACAATAGGAAAACATTAAATGGTTACCTCTACAAATGAGTTCCGGTTTGCTTGCAAGCCAACTTTTACAACCTCAAAAGGGTTAACCACGATGGCCTCTGTTAGTCCAGATCCCAGTCCAGCGATGGCAAATGTCTAGAAAAATTAAATCAATCAATACTTTAAACCAGATGATCACATGTACTAGGATAAACGTCCTATTCATTATACCACACAGCTGTCGGTAATGATGAGAATGGAGAATCCTATACAAACGTACCATATACCGTTACTAAACAAACAGCTTTAGTTCTTGATTAGATGCTGACAATTCATGAAGAAGAAATTACAGAAGCCACAAACCACATCCTAACAATTCAAAATAAAATGTCAAAACCCCATCAAGGATGACTTTCTACCTTAACTGAAAGGAAGACTGCTCTGCTGACTTAAGGTGGATACTAAAACATCTGCTCACACACAATTAAGTGTTTGAATTATAAAAGGAAAACCTTTTTTCTTCTTTATAAAATATGCTTTTATGGTGGTTTGCATACAGAAATTGTACACATTGTTTCACACATTCCTTCATCCACACTGTGTTTCATAAAATTCTTATACATTATGTTTTATGAAATTAATCACCTTTGACCTATGCCAATTATGACCCCATCTTTTCAGATCCACAATGGATCTTTTCTAATTCCTTCACCCCCTCCCTCTTCCCAAACTCTGTGACCCTGTGTTTTCTCCTCTTCCCTACACTCAGTCCCTTGACCCCCACTCTTTCCCCTTTTGGACCTTTACACATATCTTATAACTTGCCCTTCTATTTTTATAACAATGATCTTGTGAAGTATCTGTCCTTACGAGATTGAGTTAACATAATGTTCTCTAGCCTCTCCAATTTTCAAAATTGTTGTTCCTGAGTGCTGCATAGTATTCTAAGATGTGCATATGCAACAGTTTCTCAAGTACATTGAGCTGCTTTCATGTTCTTGCTGTTGTGAATAATGTTGCTATAAACATTGGTGTACAAATCTGTTTACATCACAGTTCTATTTTCCTTGGGGTATATTCCTAGCAGTGGAATAGCTGGGTCACATGGAATGTTTATGTTCAGCTTTTTAAAAAAGTTTCCTTTTTCTTCTTGTTGTGTATTGTTGAATTAGATCCAACTGGCACAGGAGGAGATTGCCCCTTCTTCTCCAGCGGAGCAACAGGTGGATTCGAACCTCGTGCCTTCAGGATTGGAGGACAGATTCTTGCCACTAAGCCACCAGAGCTCCCTTATATTTAGCTTTTTGAGGAAATGCCAAACTACCTTTCGGAGCAGCTGTATCATTTTTTTACAGTCCCACCAACGCTGTATGAGAGTTCCCATCTCTTCACATCCTCTCCAACATTTATTGCTAGCTGCCCTGTTAAATTTTGCCACTGCTTCTGGGGTTAAATGGTACCTCATTGTGCTTTTGATTTGCATCTCTCTTATTGCTAGTGATTTGAGCCTTTCTTCATGTGTCTGTTGGCCATCTGAATGTCTTCCTCTGTGAAAAGTCTTTCCAAATGTCTTGCCCATTTTGTAATTTGTATGATCAGTCTTTTTCTTTATTTAGCATTTAAAGAAATTAAAAGAATAAACCCACAAAATACCAATAAAAAGCTGTATTTCAGGTAACAAAATACATCACTGGAAACACAAAAATGTACAGTCACAATCCTAGACACTATTCTAGACTATCAACAACAGAAATTATTTTTTATCCATCTTTCTCTATTCCCCTCTCCCTCTTTTATGGTGACTGTGTTATTCTTCTGGACCAGAATGAAAAGCCTAGGTCAAAAATGTTCTGAAGTTGTTGTTCTGTACCTTTGAGTCACTTGAGACCCATAGTGACCCTATGTACAACAGCTCTGAAGCCTGCTCTGTTATGAGCCAGTCTCACTAATTAGGACACACCAACTCCCATTGTTCCAGGAACTGTATTACTCTATCTCATCCAGTCTTCTTCTCTTGTGCTGTCCTTCCACCCTTCTGAGCACAATGTCCTTCTCCAAGGACCAGTCTCACCTGGCCATATACCCAAACTATGTGAGATGGAGCTTCAAAATCCTAGCCTCCAAGAAGAGAGTTGGTCTCACCCTCTCCAAGACAGACATATTTGTTTTCTTGGCAGTCCATGGTATGTTCAAGACTCTTCTCCAACACCACAATTCGAAGGCATTTTTCTGAAGGGCTCAACGAAAACCTAGAACACTTATCACAAGATTACTATATTTGAGGTTCTCATTTGCCACCTGATAATGGTGTCTTCAGGGAGCTCTGGTGCACTAGTGGGTAAGAAGTTATGCTGCCTAACCAAAGACAAATTGTTCAAATTCACACCTGCTGCTTTGAGGGGGAAAGATGGGTAACCAACGTTCTGTGTGATTTATAGCCTCCAAAGACCTGCTAGAAGTTCAGCTATCAGTCAGTTCCAACTCAACAGTACGTAACAACAACAAACATTTCTTCAGTAGGAAAAAACAAACTTCTAGGATTTTCTTTTAAGTAAAATGTTCAAGAGTTTTTCAGAAGAATCTGTATAAAAATATGCACAAAAGTTAAAAAAACCCAAACAAACAAACCCCCAAAACAACCAACCACACAAATAAACCAAGAAAAAAGAAGAACAAAGCCTTAAATCTCTAAAACAGATGCTGGATAAAAAAGAATTCTTTAGTGTTAAAGCTCTGATTTCCAGGAGAAGAAGTAAAGTCAATGAAGATTAAAAACAGATTAGGGGGTCTCCAAATTTCTTATAATAAGGGAGAAAAGGGAGAAAGGAATGTTTAAAAACCTTTTCAAAGGAAGGAAGTTAGAATAAAGGTCAGATCCAGAGCAAGAAGGTCTGAGTTCTTGCTCTAGTTCTACCACTTATTAGCTAAATGTGTAAGCCTGCCATACATGCTAGTGCTCATCGGTTCCCAGCCATAAGGGTGCCTGGAGGTTTGAAATCCAAGAGTTCCATATTTGTTTCCATTCTCAGGAAAGGTGATCTAACAAAATGTGGAAATAGTCTGAGTACTAGAAATGAATTAGCTGGGAGTAAGGGGAAATTTGTGGTTCATGAAAAAGCACCATGTGGCCCTTTAAAGAAATCCCTTGACCATTTTAAAGTCACAGTTTTCTCATCTTTAAAATATACAGAGATAAAATTATCCAATTCCCCTACCATATATGAGTACCATGTTGTTGTAATATGCCATTGAGTCACTTGTGTCTCATAGCAACCCTATATATAGCTCTGAACCCTGCTCTGTCCTGAGCCAACTTTATTGTCTCTGATATACCTATTTCCATTATCCCAGTCACTGAGTCAATCCATCTCATTGAGGGTCTTTCTCCCTTTCACTGTCCTTCCACCATCCCAAGCATGAGATCAGAATCCTTGCCTCCAAGGAATAGCCTGGTTTCACCCTCTCCAGAATGAACTTGTTTGTTCTCCTAGCAGTCCATGGTATATTCGATATGCTTTTCCAGCACCATAGCTTAAAGGCATCAATTTTCCTTCTATTATCCCTAGTCATTGTGCAGCTCTCTGATGCATGGCAAGTAATTGCCAAGACCATGGCCTGGATCAGGTGCACCTTAGCCTCCAGACTGACATCGCTGTTGTTCCGTATTCTGGAGACTTTCCCCAGTGCAATTAGTCTTGATATCCTGGTTGCTGGGACCAAGAGTGTTGAGTACCATGTTGTTGTTGTTGTTGTTATGTGCTGTCGTGAAATCCTTTTGGAAAGTGCTATAGAAACATCATTGGTGTTGTTGCACATGAGGCAAGAATTGGATTCTTCCTCTGAAAGGAAGAATGCAATTGTGTACAGATTCTGGGAGAGAAAGAATAACTAATAATGTTTTCCTTTTGTCCCCTTTCCTTATGATTTTAAACACATTTGTATAGGATAACAGACCAAACATTTTATTCATTTATCTCAGGCTTCTATCATGGAAGCCAAGAGTAAGAGGAAAAAATACTAGTCCTAAACTCTTCTGACTGGGAAAGCTAAAATCCAGATGTTTAGGATTTTATTACTTACTAAATGAAATCTTCCAAGTAATTCACTTTTTTGTTCTTCTATAAAACTCAGCTATGTTTGCTGTTAGAACTGGTGTTCAGCAGTCCCTTGTCAAAAAAAAAATTGATCAGATATCAGCAGATAGTGTTACTTAGAATGTTCCAGAGACTGGAGTTTAACCGTCCGTTTCCAGCCTCTAAGGCTTTTCATGTGAGAATACCAGGGGACATTAAACAGCTGTGCCAAGATTGTGTGTGTGTGTGTGTGTGTGTGTGTGTGTGTGTGTGTGTACACACTAGAATAAAAAGTGCAAGAAAAGAGAGAGATTATATACAGTTAGAGTAGCTGGGGTGGTCAAATGTTTTCTGATTTTACTTCTCAAAAGAGTTGGAAGAACTGCAATTTCTTACATGGTACTTTTGACAAAAGAACAGCTAGCTGGTTATTGTCTCTTGCAAGGAACCTTTTAATCCTTTTTTTTTGGCAAGATGTTTTTAAAGTTAAGAATGAGAATAAGGGAAGATACCTGTGAATTAAAAACAAGTAAACAAAACTTAGGCGATTTTAGGTCTCACGTTAGCGCTTCTTGATTCCTATAGGCTATCCAGTCACCTTGTTTTGGTAGGAGACTGGAGAAGATATTTCTTCATCATAAGGGAAAGTGAAACAGTTAGGGTTCTTCTCAGAAAGGAGATATGTACGTAGAACTAAAACTGAAAAGTACTTCTTGGACAGTCTATTTGGCAGAGTTAAGTATTCTGCAAAGAACCATTACAGGCAAAGCAATTAGAGTGCTGAAGTTCAGAACACTGCCTCTCGGGCTGATTTTGGACGTACAGCTCAGCAGACAAAAATTGAGGGATTTTCCTAGAGGCTGGAAGTTGCTAATTGCCAATGGGGGAATAACTGCCAATTGAAGGGCCAATGCAGGTCTTGTTTTGTTTTGCAGATTTGGAGCGAGCATTTGCCTTTGCTCTCTGAGGCTCTGATTGCACACATATTTGTAGAACCTGTTTTGCTCAACGTAATTTAACTGGCTTTGTGCAAAGTGGAAAAGACAAGAGGAAGAGGGTGGTGTAGAGGAATGTTCCAATCACCGAGTGATTTGCATGTAGTAGTTGAGATGTGTGTCTTTGTAAGATCACTATTTTCCCTGGCTAAGTTGTTTACAGACATTCCTATAAAAGGTCCTTCAGTCTGTGTCTAACCACAGTGATTTTATTCCAAGTAACCTGAAGTAAAAAAAAAATCCTATTTTTACTACAGGTTGAGCAAAAGCTGGAAAAAATTACCTATTAGAAAATAATCTTAGGCATACTTACTGTTTCATAATAGATAATGTATTGTATGCATGTAAACATGTGTATGCTTTGGCTTTGAAAGAGTCTTTGATAAATGTACTATTTGTTTAATATATTTGACCATATCTCATATGGGCCTTTCCACACATATCTTTATTATCATAAATTCATCACTGGGAGCTATAAAATAGCCAAATTGTGAGTTATTAGGAAGATAGCTTTCAACAAGTAGCTGAACATTGAATAACTTGAATTCACATTTTTAGTAGCTGGGCTTGGGGAATCAAAAGGGTTTTTGTTTCCAGATTTTGCTTTATGAAATAACACATACACTTAAGTATAATAAATACTCTCACTTACCATTGCTGGTGACAGTGACACATATTCCAGCAATTTCTTGTACTGTTCAAAGGTGAAAAACTGTGAAAGAAAACCAAACCCAGAGATTTATAACAATTTCCTGCAACAAACCCTTTAATTGACTCAAATTTCTTTAGTAAAATCATTACATCAACCAGCATTTTAAAAGAAATGATAAACTATCTAACACAATTTTAATCTGGTCTCGGGTAGTTGCTATTGGATCCTACATTAACGTTCACATTTTCAAATGCAGCTATAATAACCTACAGAAGAGCTGATGGAATCCTTTATAGCAGTAAATGAACCATAGAGCTTCCATTTACCATGACCATTTTCAGTTTCCCCAGACATCAATAGACTTCTTTTTTATGGCAGTGATTCAAAATTATAGGCATAGAGACCTGAAATCTTTGGTCTCCTATGTTTTTTCTAAGAACTACTTTCCCAGTGAATGCTCAGTTTTCTTGTCCACTTGTAAAAAGCCATCCACTTCTCAGTCTTGCATTTATATTTATCTGTGTCTCCTCTTTGTTTCATGGACTTTATAAATATCAAACCGTGGTTAAGATGCCACAATAAACATGGAACGAACTGACCGATCATCAAGTCCTTCTCTTGCCTTAAAGTATAACTATTTTCAATCTAAATGAAGAGAGATGCTTATTTTTTCCCATTAAAATCGGATAGTGGTGGTGATGAAGATTTTGCTGGTTCGTCAGTGGATAATCAATGCACTTTTCTCTACAAATTTTTGTGGAGGCAAATCTAATCAATCACTTCATGTTATAAGGCCACAATTCATTCTCTCCTATCTTCTACATTTTACAATGTGGGCAACGAATCTGCTGGAAAACATTGTTTTGCTCCTGGGTACTCTGTCAGTTGTCAGGTAGCTGCCAATATCACCGATAAGGCCTAGTCATACGTCCTAGTAGGGTGTGAGTCTAGAGTCTCTAGAAACAATGTAAGCATTAAACAGCACTATTCTATTACTATTTCTATTCTGTTAGTATTCTTTTACTTTAGATTGCATTTATAGTTCTGTTATCTGAGAAGAAAGACCTGGTGATACGTTGCTGAAGGATCACAGCCTTGAAAACCCCGTGTTCTACCCTGCACACATGGGGTTACCATTAATCAGAATTTACTCAATGGTAATTAAAAACAAATTTACCAAGAAAACTAACACCAGAAAAAAAGAAAGAAAAAAACAAAACAAAACAAAAAAAAAAAAGCCAGCTGTGGAGGTTAGATAAACTCTGCTGTTAGAAAGAGGTGGTTCTTTGTAGATATGCTGTCATGAGTCTTTGGGCAGTCCAAGAGTCGTTATACCACCAGGCAGATTTTCAAGATCCAGAGATGACTTTTGTGTCATGTTCCTTTAAACCATTTAATGTACTGAGTTAGAATTTGTAAAAAAGGAAATTCATTAATTCCTTCATACAACTACTTACTGGGTGAGTTCTATGCGCTAGACAGTTGGGGAGGCAGCAATAACAGAAACTTCACCTTCTTGAGCTAGCATTCTAATAGAAATTTTGAAATGATGATGATTTGAAATTATACTAGTGGTAAAATAGTACTTGCCAGGCACCAGCCCTGTTCTGATGAGACATGTACTGGAAAGAAAGTACTATTGTCTTCGGTTTTAAAGATTATTAGTTTTTCATCCATCCTTATTATCATAATCATCATTATTCTTTCACAATTAGCTTGTCAGGATTTTGAGGTGAGCAAACTTGGGTTTGAATCCTCACGTCTCTATCTTCCTCAAACATAACAGTTATTACTAAGTAAAAGAAAGACCTTTAATAAGTCTTAGTATACAGTCCACTTCTTCACTTTGGTTACTAAGAAAACCATAGAAGCTTAGGTAATCTGCACTCTTTGTGAGATCCTGTCATGGCCTAGAAAATATGCTAAGAACTTTACACGTGTTAGCTGTTCAAAACTATCAGCTGCTTTTAGTACTAATATGGGCTATCTCTTTCTGTGCAGATTTGCACCATTGGAAATTCAATGAAAGAGTGCCATGAGTTGGAATAGACTTGATGGCAGTCAGTTTAGTTTTATTTTCATTTGCTTATTTGTATTTACTATTAAGCTAACATTGTCAATGGTTTGGGAAGAGATTCTCTGCTACTTGGGACAGCCACACAGAACCTGGAAATCTTAGTATCCCTTAAGACAGAAGATTTTAAACTTATTCTGAGCACAATTTACAGCAAAAAAAATATTTACTTACCACACATATAAAATACACACATGCACACACATTAGGAAAGTCAATTACAATAATGTTTTTTACTTAAAATGGGATTTAGGAATTTTGAAAGCATTTCTATTTAAACAAGTTTTTTTGAACTTGGACATAAAATAGGGAATCCAGTTAATTATATTATGTTGTTGTCTATCATCAAACTAAATCTGATTCATAACAACCTTGTATGACAGAGTAGAATTGCCTCATAGAGAGCAGTTCACCAGGTCTTTCTTTCACACTTGAACTTTCAACTTTTTGCCTAGGAGCCAAGCTCTTAACCATGGTGCTACTAGGGCTTTTTAATATGCTATGTTGTTGTTAGGTGCTATTGATTCAAGTACAACCCCATAGTGACCCTACGAACAACAGATCTGAAATCTGTCCTATCCTGTGTCGTCCTCACAATCTCTGATGTGCTTGCTTGAGCCATTATAACAGTCATTACGTCAATCTACCTGGTTGATTGAATCTACCATTCACCTTCCCAAACATGATGCTTCTCTCCAAGGAAAAACATCTTGTAGCAACATGTCTGAAGTATGTGAGACAAAACTTTATCATCTTTGTCTCCAAGGAGCACTCTTGTTGCACTTTCTCCAAGAAATGTTTGTTTGTTCAGTTTGGCCTTGAGTAAGTACGGAGCACTGTTTCCTCTAATCTTTTTTCATAATTCTTTCCTAGGCCTCAAGAGTTTCCTATCACATGCACTGCTCAGTGCTCAGCTTAATACTTGGGGTGCCCTCTGTAGATTTCTGGAGTTCTTTCTCTGTATTCTTCTCTCTCCTTTGACACTTTGCCCTGTGAATTCGAGGCACCTTGCTCTCCACCGACTCTCAGCTCTTTGCCAACTTAAGAAGCTTAACTAGAGGGAGCTTTGGTGGCCTAGTGGCAAGAAGCTGCACTGCAATCCCAGAGGTATGTGGTTTGAATCCACCAGATGCTCTACTGGAGAAGGAGAGAAAATATCTTTCTGTACCAGTCAGATTTGATTTGATGGTACACACACACACACACACACACACACACACTAAAATTATTATTATTTTTTTTAAAAGAAGCTTAACTGGGTTTTTTCTACCTGGATTTCCTTCCTGGCCACCCCTGTAATCACTCTCAAGGCAGTTAAGTAGGGCCAATCCTGGGTTTTCTCTCATTTGCTTTCCATTTCTCATTGATGTTCAGTGTCAGAAAAAAAAATGTTGTTGTTGTTATGTGTCATTGAGTCACCTGTGACTCATAGTGACCCTATGTACTATGTACACTATGCCCTAAATCTGGCTCTATCCTGTACCAATCCTATTTTCTCTGATACACCTACCCCTATTACTCCAGTCACTGAATCAATACATCTCAATCCATAGGGCAATCTATTTTGTTCATTCTCTTGTTTTAAGCAGGTGAATGAATCAAGTTCTTGTTAATCTAACTTGATCAGAAGTAGAAGTCTTTGAGCTTCCAGATACTTTGATGTGGAATTTTGGGAGAATAGGACCAGAATATATCCTGTTACAAAGAAATAAAACATCTTTTCCCCCCTGTCCATATGTTTTATTTAAGCATTTAATCAAGACTGTACATCTGCTACAATCATGAGTATCTTTACAACACATTCTCTGTCCTGGTTATCATTTGGTTAGCATTTTGGAGTCCATGAGAATCTAAATATGCGAAGTAGTGTTTCTAGACACGTCAAACTCAAGACCAGATCATGAACACCAGAACCCAGTGACTCTTATTTCTGGGGTCCATTTGGTCTCAGAGGTCTTTATGTTGTTTTGTTAACTATAATACGAACTCTATCTTTACAAAGTTAAGGAAATGGGATATTTATTTAGGACTGGTAAGTCTCATTATTTGAATGATAGATATCATTTCAAAGAATAAAGTACAGAACAACTGCAAATTGCTTCTGATTATAGTAGCAATTGTAACTAAAACATAAGCATCAAGGAGGACACACACACACACACACACACACACACACAGTCTCTAATTTTCTCCCCTGAAGTCCCCCCTGAAGTAAACTTTGATGACATACAATGAAGCTGTTTATGATGTATGAAATCGTTACAATCAGGTGATCTCTTTCCTCACAAATCGTAAGATAAATATCTATAAAATGAAGGTTTTCATAAATTGTGTCAAAAGCCTAGTGCTATCCATCTGGCAAAGATACACTTAACTCCAAGTCATACTTAAAAAGCCAAAGTACTTACCATATGTCTCAATAATTTTAAGGTAAAATCTACTTGAAACAAGATGTCTGGGATACATATACTATATCCAGTTGCCCAAAAGTTCATCTGTTAACCATTGTTCTGGCAGAAAGCACAGGGTGGTGGTGGGTTTTTTTTTTAAATATGTAGAGACTAACTCCATTTTGTAAAGCTGAACTTTTTTTTCCCTTTTTTGTAAAAGACTGTTCAACATTGATAAAACTTAACTCTTTTAAAGTTTAAATTGTCTCTGACATATAGTATTAAGGGGGGGAAACCCAGGAAAAACTTCAATTATACTTTACTTATACATGTAAAACATTGAACAAATGAATATATTATTTCATGGAGACAAAGTGACTTTCCCCTTTGGACAGGAACTCCGCTCTGTTTGTTTACTTGGGCAATCTTTTATCAAGAGAAGCTATTTCATAATTCAATTCGGCCCTTTTGTGTACTTTGGTGAACTTTTTCCAGATTCTTTACTGTGATTCGGATCCCTATAATGAAAAGTGTATTGAAGCAATAATATAAAATCACAAGAACTAGCAACAAAGAGGATGAATTTATAGAAAAAGTATGTTTTAAGCTTTGTTTTCTAAATTCCAGACCTAAATCAAATCCTATTAAGTTAGTATTTGGACATAATGTACAAGTTTGGTGTTTGTGTAAGTATGTTGGTAAGTTTATGATTTTTAAGCCAGTTATGGTCTTAGCTTACTTGAGAAAAAGTAAGCTACCCCTACGTACCTTCCAGTATACTGAGGATGCAGAATGAGTAAACAATGTATGTAGAGGGGAAAGCTTTATGTTATTAGTTAAGAAGGACTCTTTTCAACCTAATTTTTTATTATTAGCATTATGAAACGACAAAGCCATGCTTGGAGATGTTCACAGATGGGAAAAATGGGTAAGAGTCATTGCTATTAGTACTTTTGTCTGAGAGGAAATAAGAAAAAAAAAGTAATCAAATTTAGTTCTTTCTTTTCTGAAGGTCCTGTGAGATATCTGTGTTCTCCTCCAGATACTGAACTTCCAAGTATTATATAAACTTTCACAGTTACGTGGTTAAAAGGATGGAAATCCAGGTAGTGAAAATAAAAATGTCCTAAGTCTCAGATATTAGAAAGATTTTAGTAGAGAGGACTAGGTATAAACTGGAGTAGATAAAAAAATGGAGTAGATAAATTAATAATATACAGAGTAATATAGTGTGTTTGATTATCCTATTAATAAGATATTGAGAACGACTGGTAGAAAAAGGTTTTCCTACATCCCCTCTTCTTTGCTTTTTAAAAAATAATTATTGCTCCGAAGGAAAATTTCTAAAAGCTTTGAGGAAAGGCCCAAGGTATTTTGTGGCTGCTGTGGTTTGATTACATGAATTTCATTCACCACTAGGCTATTTGTTTAGTTTCCCCATTAGAAAGGGATTACCTTAGCTTGAAGAGAAAACAACAAAACAAGACAAAAAAAGAAAAATTAAAAGCAACCCACTGTTTATCCTTATCTGAGAGACCAAACAAGTCTAGTTATAACAAAAAATGTACTATTATTTCTGCATTAAAATGTTTAGTCTCTTATGTTTAACCCATATTAATATTCCTTAGCTTGTTGTGGAATATCTTCATGGTGAAACTGTGACTCTGTGATTCTAGTTTATTTTTACTTGGTGGGAAGTAGACGATATTTACCTTCACTGCTCTTTTTGGTGTTTCAGCCATGATCGGTGGCAGAATTCCTTTGTAAAATCCAAACAGTCTGTTGAAAAACATTAAAAATTTTTATTCAGCTTTAAATAATAGTAAGTCAGTCTCTGTTTACAGAGAGAACAACAAATCCTAAAGGGTTCCCAATTATTCAATATAGCATACTAATTATGATTTTTTCCTTCTTTTAATTCTCAGGTAGAAAGATGATAAATTCTATATTCAGAAGAAGAATAAATTATACTGAGACTGGAGAGGTTGGTGTTTTGTTGCTGTTTTTTTTTTTAATTACTAAACACAATAATAAGCTGTACCTTAAAAACTATGTTCATCCACAAATGTTATTGTTTGAGTTGTAGACAACGCATAGTGACACTATGAACGAAAGACCTGAATACTTATATAACTTTCATTGTTTATCCAAGTTCACAGAGTTTCCAGAGGCAAGCTATTTCAGAAGTGGATGCTATTCCTGCTTCCAAGCTTGTTTTAGTCAGGGAGCTCCACCAAACACTGCCACCATGGGCAACCATTATCGCATTTGACACATCAGTGTCACAGTGGTTAGCATCACAGCAACCATGAGTTACCTCTGTACAACAAATGGACAGACCAGTGCTATACCACTTAGAAGAATGTTTGATCAAAAACAATTAAAACAGGTCTGAGGGCAGCAGATTAAAATCATCCACCTTTGACTTGGTCACATAACGTTCTATCCACCAGGCCCACAGAGCTCTCTCTATGTTGGTGGTGGTATTGCTAAGTGTTGTCAAGTCGTAGATGACTCATAGTGACCCTATGAATGAAAGACTTGAACACTTGTATAACTTTCATCATTTCATTGATGAATAGGACCTTCTAAAAATAAAGTCCCTGTGTGTGTGTGTGTGTGTGTGTGTGTGTGTATAAATTTTCAATAGGGTGAAAAGAAAACCTACAGACTGGGGAAAACATTTGGCAATGACATCTCAGACAGTGTCTCATAGTGAAATTCTACAGAATACTACAGGGCCTCCACAAGAAAAAGATGATAACTCAAAACCAAATAGGCAAAAGACATGAAAAGATTTTCATAAAGGAAGACATTCAGATGGCCAATAGACACATAAAGAAATGCTCAAAATCATTGGGAATCAGAGTGATGCCAATCAAAAGTATAATGAGATAACATCTCACCACACTAGGGATAGAAAAGTTTAATAGTATAGCAAGCAATAAATGTTGGAGAGGATATGAAGAGATTGGAATTAACATGCACTGCTGGTGGGATTGTAAAATGGTACAACCACTCTGGAAGGCAGTTTGTCATTTCTTAAAAAAGCAGAATAAAGAAATCCCACATGATGCAGCTATTTCACTGCTAGGAATAATACACTCCAAGGATGTTAAAACTGAGACATGAATGGGGATTTGTACAGCTATGTTCACAGCAGCATAATTCACAAGAGCAAGAAAAGAAAATGGAAACAGTTGAAATGACCATTAGCAAACAAATGGATTGAGAAATTGTGGTATATGCACACAATGGAATACTATGCTCTGCCAAGGAACAATGATTTCATAAAATATATAACATGAGAGAGTCTAGAGTGCATATGCTGAGTGAACTAACATAGTCTCACAAAGACAAATACTACATAAGACCATTACTGTAAAAACAGAAGGATAACTAGTAAGATGCATATAAATATCCAAAGTATTAAGGGGAAAAGGGAAGAGTGGAAATCACGAGAATAACCGTTTAGAGGGCAGATGGGGCGGGGGCAGTGTGTGAAGGATTAGGACAGATTAAACAGGGACTCAAAATGATGGGGTATGAAAAAGCAAAGCACTTCTGAAAAATAAAAATGAAGTGGGAGGCATAGCACTCTTGACCTCAAAACCTACATATAGTGGTAGCAAAAAACCCAGCATGGTACTGGTACAGTGACAGGCACATAGACCAATGGAACAGAATCGACAACCCAGAAATGAACCTCTGTCTATGGTCAACTGATAAACAAAAAGAAAATAAAACCTACTAAATGGGGAAATGACAATCTTTTCAACAAATGGTGCTGTCAAAACTGGACCGTAATCTGCAGAAAGCTGAAACAGGATCCACATCTCACACCATACACAGAAATCAACCTAAGGTGGATCAGAAACCTTTAAGCAAAGCCAAAACCATAAAGTTCATCAAAGACAAATTGAGATCATGACTAGAAGGCCTAGATTATGGTATAAAGAGGCTGACAAACACAGCCAGAAATGCACAATCTGGAAAGGATAAAATTGATGAATAGGACTTTCTAAAGATTAAATCTCTGAGCTCATAAAAAAACTTTTTCCAACAGAATAAAAATACCAACTGGTAACAAACATTTGGCAATACTATCTTAGATAACAGTCTCATAATAAAAGTTTACAGAATACTCCTAGGCCTCCAGAAGAAAAAGACGGATAACCCCATTACAAAATGGGTAAAAGATAAGAGAAAATTTTTCACAGAGGAAGACATTCAGATGGCCAACAGACACATGAAGAAATGTTCACAATCGCTGGCATTAAGAAAGATGTAAATCAAAACCACAATGAGATATCATCTTACCCAGTAGCAGTGGCAAAGTTTAACAGGATATCAAGCAATAAATGTTGGAGAGAATGTGGACAGGTGGGAACTCTCATACACCTGGTGAGACTGTAAGATGGTACAACTGCTCTGGAAGGCAGTTTGGCATTTCCTCAAAAAGGTGAACACAGAAACACCATATGATTCAGCTATTCCATTACTAGGAATATACTCCAAGGAAATTAGAACTGAGATACAAATGGATATTTGTACACTAATGTTCATACCAGCATGATTTACCATTGCAAGAAATGGAAACAGCCCAAATGTACAACCACAACTGAATGGATTAAGAAATTATGGTACATTCACACAATGGAATACAATGCAGCACTCCACAGAAACAATTAAAAAAATAATACATTTCACAAAACACTTGGGGAAGACTGGAGAGCATTATGCTGAGTAAACTCAGTCTCATAAGGACATATATAAGACTTGTTGTTGTTATGTGCCATTGAATTGCTTGCAACTCATAGCGACCCTATGTACAAGAATCCTAAATGCTGCTCTATCCTGTGTCAACCTTGCAGTCTCTGACATACTCATTCCCACCACTCCAATCACAGAATTGATCTGTCTCATCGAGGGTCTTTTTCTCCAGCGCTGCCCCTCCACTCTCCCAAACATGATGTCCCTCTCCCTCCTTGCAACATACCCAAAGTATGTCAGAAGAGGCTTTAGAATCCTTGACTCCAAGGAGCATTCTGGCTTCACCCTCTCCAAGACAAACCTGTTTGTTCTCCTAGCACTTCTCCAGCACCACAGTTCAAAGGCATCAATTCTCTTTTTCTCATCCCTAGTCACTGTCCAACTCTCTGATGCATAGCACATAACTGTGAAGACCATAGCCCAGATCAGGCACACCTTAGTCTCCAGCATGACATCATTGTTCTTCAGGACTCTTGAGAGGTCCTTCAAAACTGATTTTCCCAATGCGATTCATCTCTTGATTTCCTGGCTGTTGTTCCCTGTCTGTGGAGCCAAGCAAACAAAAACTGTTAACTATCTCAATCTCTTCACCATCCATACTGATGCTGCCAATTGGCCCACTGGTGAGAATCTTTGTTTTCTTAATATTGAGCTTCAATTTGTATTGAAGGCTGCAGTCCTTGACCTTCTGCAGCAAGCACTTCAGGTCCTCCTCAGTTTCAGCAAGCAGGGTTGTGTCATCTGCATAAACAGGTTGTTGATGAGTCTTCCTCCAATCCTGATGCCACATTCCTCCCCGTAGAGCTCAGTGTCTGGGATTATCTGTTCTGACAACAGATTGAAAGGGCATGGAGACAAAATCATCCCTGATGGACCCCTTTCTTGATTTTGAACCATGTAGCATCTCCTTGCTCTGTTCTGACGACTACCTCTTGGTTCAAGTATAAGTTTCGCATAAGCACAATCAAGTGTTCTGGGATTCCCATTCTTCTCAAAGTCAGCCATAGCTTGTTATGATCCACACAATCAAAAGCCTTTGCATAGTCAATGAAGCACAGATCTCTGCTTTCAGCCAAGATCTATCTAACATTAGCTATAATATCCCTAGTACCACAACCTTTTCTAAATCCAGCCTGCACATCTTGCAGTTCTCTGTTGATATATTGCTCCAATTGCTTTTGGATAATTTTCAGCAGAATCTTACTTGCATGTGATATTATTGATATTGTTCGATAATTTCAGCACTCTGTTGGGTCTATTATCGTAAAAATAGAAGTCTAACTAGTAAAACATGTATGGTGACCCAAGAAGGGAAGCGGTTGGAGCAGAGGGGTAAAGGATGGATACAGGCAAAACCACAGGGTTGTACAATTTGGTGGATGAAGGGAGGGCTTGAAGGAAATGGGATGGATCTGGTGGGGACCTGATAAGACAGGGTAATGATGAGCAAGGCCCAAAGGTGATTAATTTTATAAAACACAGTGCATGGGAATGATTGTATGAAACACAATGTGAATGAAGAATAGTGTGAAACACAATGTATACGAACTTTGTAAGTAAACTAACATAAAATAATTTTTTAAAAAAAATGATGGGGTAATTATAGCCATAGATAACAGTAATTAATTATATAAGATACAATGTACATGAATGGGTGTATGAAACATATTTGTAAATGCACGAACATATTGCAAATGAACACAATGATCATGAAACACAATATAAACAAATTATTATATGAAAATCAACTTAAACATTTTTTAAAAAGCAAACAAAAACCAAAAAAGTAAAGTTGACCCTTCAGACTTTCAAGAATCTATTTGGTCAATTTTATGGTAAGTAGCTTCAAACTACCTGTTGTGACACTGCCAGTCCTGTGTCACATTCATGGTGGTTGGGAATCAGGCTATCATGACCCTAGTTTTCATTGACTGTAACTCAAACCTGGGTCTCTCACTTTTTTAGAGAAATGAATTCTACCAATGAACCATCAACACATTACACAA